TGTACTCACCCAGGAGACATTTTTGGTCTTGAGCAATTTTGACATAACTTGCAGGTGGAAAAGCAGCAATCCCTGCTCCTGGTAGTCTCAACGTCCTTGCATGGACTCCAGTCAGCACCTAGTTGCTGCAGCAGGAGCATCCTCCATCCTCCGCTGCCTCTTTGCCAACAGATCTCACCAGATTTACATCTGCCTGGAGCTTCGCCCGCCCATTACACCCAGATATTCTCCAAAACCTCACTCAAGAAGGAGGAGGAAGAGTGGGAGCCAGAGAGAAACAAAGATGAACTCCAGGAATGGCTGTCGGAGGCAGAAATAGAACTTGCATAAAGTTTCTTCAGTCTGAATCATCCTCTTCTTCCGGCTTGTTGGTGGTTTTCTGGTTTCCGTTTCATATGCCCCACGCAGAGATGAAGCCAAACATCTGGCTGATGTCTCATGATGCTGAAACGAGCGAGAAGGGAAGGATGCAAGGGAAGCAAAAATCTAATGAGAGCAAAAACCAGAGATGGCCAGAAAGCACAAAGTGGAAGGGAGGTTACCAAGTCCTGACAAGAAATGATTTCTGTTTGTGGAAATGTGATATTTTACTTTTGTTTACCTTTAGTTTCACATAAATTCAAAAACCAAACAAATAAAGGACATACAAACTGCTGTCGCCTGCATGATTGTGTTCATGCTTGCTATATTGTGTTGTGATTGTAATCTGGCTAGAGAGCCTCTGATTGGTCAGAGGGAAAGAGAAGGATTGGCAGAATGAGAGATTAATGTAAGTATAGATGATCATCTCTTTTGGCCAGTGCTAAACTCCCTTTTAATCAGAATCCTGAGCTTCGCTGGACATAAATGTGATTTCGATCCTTCTGACAATGAGAACAGCTAAAATGATTTTTCACTCATTTTGGAATCTTTTGACCTACATAATTCTAAGATAATTCACAATCCTAACTCAGAGGAAACACCCATTACTTTGAAGATGCATTATTCTCTTTTAATTGCAAAACAAATTCAATTCAAGCTAATAGAGAATGAAATAGCAGATAAGTCCCCTCTGTCTGAGATTAAGACTCTATAATTGCGATTGCAGGGAGAAGCATGCAGATAGCCCCCGAAAATGGATGGATGGATGTTTTTCTTGAATCATCTTGTATTGATGCATTTAAAACTTAGCCCCAAATGTGTAGGATGTTCATTCTCTCTTGTTTTGTTGCTTTGTTCACATTATTGAAATTTGCACGTATGGGTTTGGTCTTTACAGGCAGAGAGGATTATTTTATGAGCTGCTCTGACTCGAGAAGGACGCTTTAGACATCAAGCTACTTTCTTTAAACATCTTTTGTGTGTTCTTACTGTGTCTAGTTTCTAATTCCATTTTTGGTTATTTTTAAAACACACAAAAGGTTTCTCTTTACCTTGCTGACAGTTTTGTTTGGCGACTGGAAAACATCCTCAGGGCTGACGCTGATGGTGGCGTCACTTCCTACTCCGTTTATCCGCAGGCAGCAGAAGACGTTGTCGCCCTCTGCTTCCCGCTCTCCCCTCTCCGATGACGCAGTCCCATGCACGATCCAATGTGTGGACCCCATCGTCTCTGTTCATGGTCCTGCATCCACGTCTCCTTATCTCGATAGCTTCCTTTATCCATCTCTTGTATTTCTGTTGTCCGGTGTTTATGATCCTTGTGTTGTCCCAGTCCATGATCTGTTACTGCTGACTTCTTTATTGTGCTTTCTGCTTCTTCTTTTGCTGCTCTTGTGTGTTTTCGACTTGCCTCTTTCTCGCACTCCTTTCTATGTTCTATTGTTCGTGTGTTGAGTTGGCGTCCGGTTTCTCCTATGTATGTTTTATTGCAGAGTTTGCATGGGATTTCGTAAACAACTCCACATTTAAGTCCAGCTGGTATTTTGTCTTTTGGGTGTACTAGTCTGTTTCTAACTGTTGTGTATGGTTTTGTTGGTGTGTTTATGTTGTGTTTTTTCATTGCTGCTCTTATTTTTTCTGTTATGCCTTTGATGTATGGTAGGTTATCACTGGTTTTGGTTCTTGTCTTTCTGATTTTCTGGTTCTTTTCTTAGGTAGTTCTTTTCTTTCTGTTGTTGTTTGTTGTTTTCCTTTGTTTATTGCCCATGTCGGGTATCCACAGGTCTTTAAAGTGTGTTGTATGCGTTTGTTCTCTTGTTTACAGTCTCTTTCTTCTGTTACCATTTTTGCTCGGTGATATAATGTTCTGAATTGACATTTTGTGTATGGTGGGGTGTTCTGATGTCCATAATAGATCTTGGTCTGTGTGTGTTGGTTTCCTGTATGTGTTTATGTTTAGGGTCCCGTCAGTCTGCCTGGTTATTTTCATATCCATAAATGCTATGCTGCCTTCTGTTTCTCACTCATATGTGAACTATATGCTGCCTGTGTCGTCAATGTTATTTAAGTGTTGTGTTAGTGTTTCTGTTTGTCCTTTTGATATGATTTCCAGTATGTCGTCTATGTAGCGTTTCCATAGTTTTATTTAGCAGTTTTTTTTGGGGGGGGGGGGGGGGGGGGGGGGCAGTGGCTATGGCTTTTTGTTCTCGATTTTCCATGAAAAACTCGCACAGGGTGGCTGATAACGGGTTACCCATGGCGAAGCGTTCCAGTTGTTTGTATATTGTGTTGTCGTATGTGAAGTAAGTGGAGTTAGCTACCAGTCCTATCAGTTGTGCTATGTCATCTGCTGTGAGGTTTATTCTTTTGCGTAAAGTCTTGTCCTGTCTCATTCTGTTAACTACTATGTCTATGGTTTTTTGGGTTGTTGTTTTTGTGAACAGGGATGTGACGTCATGTGAGATGAGTATGTCGTTATCTTTTATTGTAGTCTTTTTTTAGTTCTTTTGCGAGTTCTATACTATTTTTGCAGTGTTGATCTGTGTCACCTAATAACGGGCTGATAATTTTGCTGATTTTTTTTGCCACACACACACACACACACACACACACACACACACACACACACACACACACACACACACACACACACACACACACACACACACACACACACACACACACACACACACACACACTCCTGTATTCCTATACCCAGAGAAATACACACACACACACACACACACACACACACACACACACACACACACACACACACACACACACACACACACACACACACACACACTTGTTCTCATCAGTGAAGTTATTCCTAATATTTTCTATAATCCACATACACACACACACTCCTGTATTCCTATACCCATAGGAACACACACACACACGCTCACTTGTTCTCATTAGCAAAGTTATTCCTAATATTTTCTATAATCCACATACACACACACACTCCTGTATTCCTATACCCATAGGAACACACACACACACGCTCACTTGTTCTCATTAGCAAAGTTATTCCTAATATTTTCTATAATCCTGGTGTCACCGAATTTCCACTTTCATTACGGATCAGTTATTTCCTATCACTGCCATAAAGCTTTGGGTTAACAATTCTCTTAAATCCATGCATGAAACTATAAGCTGTGTTTGGTCCATTTGTCAATGTACTAACTGATGTTGTAATACATTCACAAAACGTAAATAACGCCCGATCATTTTCTAGCAATTCTCGGGAATAATCGGCGCATTCTGTCAAGAATTCATCCTTTGGATTAAAATGTGGTGTTAACTTTGAGACTGATTACATTGAGAAGAAAATGAATATTAAATCCAGTGTCCCAGTTCGCACAGACAAAACTGGGTGGTGCACCGAGTTATTTAATATAAAATTATAAATGACAAAGACAAGCTAAGTTCCCACCACATTTGATAGATGTAAATTCATATTTACCGCTACAGTGTGCATGAGAGTTTTTCCTGTGTGTCTCTGTGTTGCCCTGCGATGGACTGGCTCTCCATCCAGGGTGTACCCCACCTGACTGCCCATTGACCGCTGGAGATAGGCACCAATAAACAAACACAAATCACAACTTGTTTTTGAAGTTCATGCAGTTTGGTAAAACTAATAAATAAATAAATAAATAAATAAATAAATAAATAAATAAATAAATAAATAAATAAACTGAAAGCTCTGGTCAAAAGATTATTCTCAAAATGCACATTTTTCTGCTTTAAATTGCCCCAAACCATGCACAAACATCTGGATGTGGACATAAGGTCCCATTTCTTGTTAGGATGCTGCTTTTAGTTGCTTTGATTCTCCTCTGAACTCCTTTTCTGGTGTGTTGCTGAGGTGGGCACACATGGCTTGCAGCAGCAAAGTACATGGTAATCTGTGAGGCTCTGTGCTGACAGCCTATGAAATGCTGAGAACTGACAGTAAGCCTGTTTTATGTAGCAATATGCTCGTCTGCAGTTAGAGCATACCAGCTTCAAACGTCAGAGCATAAACTGCAACAGGACTTTATGGAAACTGCATACGTGCAAAAAGCAAGAGGAAAATTAGTGATGAAGCAGCAGAACGGAACATGAAATAGTTTTTAAAATGAAAAGTAAGAAAGGTGACCTTCTTGCTTGCGATGGTGGCACAGGAGTTAAGTGCTCGACCCGTAATTGGAAGGTTGCAGTTCAAGCCCCGCTCAGTCTGTCGCTGTCGTTGTGTCCTTGGGCAAGACACTTAACCCACGTTGCCTGCTGGCAACACATTCTCACACCCTAAGCGTCGGAAACAAAAGCTTGTTCAGCCACCCTCCACGTCAGACCCCAGATGCCAAAAGTGCCCTTTTTCGTTACTTATGTGAGAAAAGGGGTTTTTCCCTTTTGTAATTGCAGATCCCAATGCAGCGTAAAACTGACTTGATTAGATATCCGCTGATGCAGCACCAAACCAGCTCATTTAACCGCCCCTAAACCTTAACGTTTCACTATTTATAACCTTCCCCTCACTCTCATCCTAACCTTAACACTCATTTAACCGATGCGGCACCGAACCAGCTCGTTTAACCGCACCTAAACCTTAACGTTTCACTATTTATAACCTTCCCCTTCCCCTCTCCCTCATCCTAACCTTAACCCTCTTGCTACCTAAACCGTTACTCTCACTGTGATCAAGCGTTTGTTTCCCCTGCATTCTGACTCTGACAGTCAGAGTCTGACTGTCAATTTTCGTATTTGCCGCCCAAGGGGAACGTTAGAACATACCATCTGGCGAGGGGGAGGTTACAAATACCCTTCACTTTTAACCTCCACCGTGGTAGTTGAAACCTCCCCCTCGCGTTGGCTTGGTCCAAACTCGAACAATGACGAGGCGGCTCCAGCCATTCACTTCATAGAGCCGGCTTTTAGAGCGACTGACACATCACCAACGTGTTCGCTAGCAAGATGGTTAAGGCTAGGATAGGGGTGAGGGGAAGGTTAAATAAGAGGATAAGGTTAAGGTGAGGTACAATGAGCTTGTTTGGTGCCCTGGCTGCGGACATCCCATCACGTCAGTTTTACGCTGCATTGGGATCTGCAGTCAAATAAGGGAAAAACCCCTTTTCGCACATTAGTAACGAAAAAGGGCACTTTTGGCGTCAGGGGTCTGACGTGGAGGGTGGCTGACCAAGCGTTTGTTTTTGACGCTTAGGGTGTGAGAATGTGTTGCCTGCTTGTGGTGGTCGGAGGAACCGGTGGCGCCTGTGCCCGGCAGCCTCGCCTCTGTCAGTGCGCCCCAGGGCAGCTGTGGCTACACTGTAGCTCATCCCCACCAGGGTGTGAATGGGTGAATGACTGATCGTGATGTAAAGTGCCTTAACGGGTTCCAGGACTCTAGAAGGCGCTATATCAAATACAGGCCATTTGCCATTTATATATGTTAAAATATATGTAACCTTGCACATGCAAATTCTTCATCCTACTCCAGGTGCCTCAGTCAGGAAATAAGATGTGAGAAAAACAGCTCTTAGTTAAAACCAATCCTCGCTCAGTGGCCTAGTGGTAGAGTGTCCGCCCTGAGACTGGGAGATCAGGGTTCGATTCCTGGTCGGGTCATACCAAAGACTTTGAAAAATGGGACCCAATGCCTCCCTGCTTGACACTCAGCATTAAGGGGTTGGATTGGGGGGTTAAACCACCAAATGGTTCCCGAGCGTGGCTGTGTCTGCAGCTCACCGCTCCCCCAGGGGATGGGTCAAATGCGGAGAAAAATTTCGCACACACATCAGGGTGTGTGACAACTGACAGGACTTTAACTTTAAACACACACGACGTAAAAAAACTCTTAATGATGGAAAGCACCAAAGGTAAAGCATGCAGCACCCGTTTGAGCGTTTTTAGGAATTCTAAATCAATTCTGAGCTTTTTATCATCCATCTTGATTTAAAAACCCAGCTGGAAACAAAGCAACACCTAAGCAGCATCAGGTTGCAAGAGTCACATTACAGGTGTTATTGAGCACTGCAGAGGAAGAATACACCAGAGTGCAAAGTACAGATTATCTGTCGTCACCCTGTCCTGTCCTCACCCAACCCAACCAGTCAAAAGCCACCAGCTACGAGATAAAAAATGATCACTTACATAGGTGGACTGCACTCTCCGCCAGTGTCCCAGCCCACAGCAATACATCAAGACATCAAGTTAGAGGGAGAGGAGGGGACAGGCTGAGAGAGCCTCTGGAGAGAGTCGCCTCAAGACTGGTTGACGACTCTCATGGCACAGGTGATCCACCTGACTTCAAGCTCCTGTGGAAGTTTGCGGATCCTACAGGAGGAGAAGAATCTGACCCACCGTTTCCACAAGTTGTCACAGCGGTCAGCGTTGTCAGTTAAGTGGTTTGTTCACCTCTCCAGTCCAGGTGATCTTGACAGCAGATGTCTCATAGCATGTCTGGGATGTGATCTATCCACCTCAGCAGAGCGTTGGTGTGTCTGCTCGTGCTGATGCATGCTCACCTCATCTTTAAAAAACAGGTGGCCCATCTCTCACATTTGCCCTTCCATCACACGTCCCCACTCTTCCAGTTTTGGCTGTTAGAAAACGTTCCCCCTGCCTGCCTTCTAGTTTAAATCCCCGAACAAAATTCTTCTCTGTAAGTCTCTCATACTTCTGCGGTCAGAGCTCCTGCATCACTCCACATCTATCTTGCTCAGCTTCCTTTTCCTTCCTTGCAAGCCCACTGTGAGAATCCCGAATCAGAGTCTTCAAGGGTCGCAGTGATTCCTTTCTCCTTCTTCGAAATATCTCAGCTCCTCCTCTTCTATCTCTCTCTCACTGCGCACACTGTTTGCTTCTACATTAGCCTTGTCTCATCAGGGACGTCTGCTTACCTGAGTCACCCTTTGCAATTCAGTGTGTGTGTGTGTGTGTGTGTGTGTGTGTGTGTGTGTGTGTAGGTTGCAGCTTAGGCACTCCCCCTCTCTGTTGCCATGCTAGAGCCGGTAACATTCAGCTAGCGCAGGGGAAACACAGGCTGAATTTAAATGTGCCTCCATCCTCTCAGATTTAAAGTCTCCACTCCTCCTCCGCTGCAGCATCTCTGTCACTCGTCTTCTTCCTCTTCCTTTAGTAATCTGACTTTCT